CTGGTACCCCATACTCCCAGAGTACCCCCCACAGGGTTCCCTGAGGGACGCGGTCGAACGCCTTCTCCAAGTCCACAAAGCACATGTAGACTGGTTGGGCAAACTCCCACGTACCCTCCAGGACCCTGCTGAGAGTGTAGAGCTGGTCCAGTGTTCCACGGCCAGGACGAAAACCGCACTGTTCCTCCTGAATCCGAGGTTCGACTATCCGACGGACCCTCCTCTCCAGAACCCCCGAATAGACCTTACCAGGGAGGCTTAAGAGCGTGATTCCCCTGTAGTTGGAACACACTCTACGGTCCCCCTTTTTGAATAGGGGGACCACCACCCCGGTCTGCCAATCCAGGGGAACTTCCCCCGATGTCCACGCAATATTGCAGAGTCGCGTAAGCCAACACAACCCTACAACATCCAGAGCCTTAAGGAACCCTGGGCGAATCTCATCCACCCCTGGGGCCCTGCCACCGAGAAGCTTTTTAACCACCTTGGTGACCTCAGCACCAGAGATTGGAGGGCCCGACCCAGAGTCCCCAGGCTCCGCTTCCTCAGTGGAAGACGTGCCGGTGGGATTGAGGAGGTCTTCAAAGTATTCCGCCCACCGACCCACAACATCCCGAGTTGAGGTCAGCAGCATACCACTCCCACTATAAACAATGTTGGTGGCGTACCGCTTTCCCCCCCTGAGACGCCGGATGGTGGACCAGAAACGTCTCGAAGCCGTGCGGAAGTCGTTCTCCATGGCCTCGCCGAACTCCTCCCATGCCCGAGTTTTTGCCTCAGCAACCACCCGAGCGGCATGTCGCTTAGACTGCCGGTACCCATCAGCTGCTTCCGGGGTCCCACAGGCCAAAAAGGCCCGATAGGACTCCTTCAGCCTGACAGCATCCCTCACCGACGGTGTCCACCATCGGGTTCGAGGGTTGCCCCCGCGACAGGCACCGACAACCTTGCGGCCGCAGCTCTGGTAAGCCGCCTCGACAATAGAGGCACGAAACATGGTCCACTCAGACTCAATGTCCCCCACCTCCCTCGGAACATGTTCAAAGTTCTCCCGGAGGTGGGAGTTGAAACTCCGTCTCACAGGAGACTCTGCCAGACGTTCCCAGCAAACCCTCACAATACGTTTGGGTCTGCCAGGTCTGACCGGCATCTTCCCCCACCATCGGAGCCAACTCACCACCAGGTAGTGTTCAGTTGACAGCTCCGCCCCTCTCTTCACCCGAGTGTCCAAGACATGTGGCCGCAGATCAGATGAGACGATGACAAAGTCGATCATCGAACTGCGGCCTAGGGTGTCCTGGTGCCAAGAGCACATATGGACACCCTTATGCTTGAACAAGGTGTTCGTTATTGACAATCCATGACGAGCACAGAAGTCCAACAACAGAACACCACTCTGGTTCAGATCAGTGGGGCCGTTCCTCCCAACCACACCCCTCCAGGTCTCACTGTCATTGCCCACATGAGCATTGAAGTCCCCCAGCAGAACAAGGGAGTCCCCAGAAGGTGCGCTTTCCAGTACCCCCTCCAAGGACTCATTGAAGCTTAAGAAGTTTAAAGCCATCCAGTACAAGAATGCATGATACTTAAAATATAATGGCCAATCATTTATACTGATACTGATATTGTGCTTAATGATACTACAATGAGAATAAATTATCAATACAGTAGTAGCTCAGATAATTTCTTTAAGTGGCTCCTATATCAGCTGAAGTAAAAGTTCTATTCAAATAAATTGCTCAGGGGGGGTCACAGTTACTGAAAGCCAAGAGCTCAGGGGCTGGACATCCAGAAGTTATTGATATTAAGTAAGTTTGTTTTATATTTTAAAATATAGTTTTATTTAAAAATGAACCCAATGGTGGGCCGAACTGAGTTCACCCATGGGCCTGATTTGGCCCCTGGGCTGCTAGTTGAATATCCTTGGTTTAAAGCCTCAGAAGTGACAGTGTTGGTGGGCGTCTAGAAGTTTTATTCCATGAAAACAAACACAAACTAAAACAGACCATTAAGTTTGGAAGAGAACGTACCAGACAGCATGACTAGAACAAAATTTTTAAAAAAGCTTCTGTGACAGGGCAGCACGGTGGCTCAGTTGGTAGAGCTGCTGCCTCTCAACAAGAAGGTCGCCAGATCAAATCCCGGCTGGGGGTCGTTCCGAGTGGAGTTTGCATGTTCTCTCCATACATGGGTGGATTTTCTCCAAGTACTCCAGTTTCCTCCCACAGACCAAAAACATGCATGTTAGTCTGATTGGTAACTCTGAATTGTCTTTAGGTGTGAGTGAGAGAGTGAATGGTTGTTTGTCTCATTTGTCTCTATGTGTCCCTGTGATGGAATGGACACCTGTCCAGGTTGTCCCCCACTTCTCTCACAGTGACTGATGGATATGGGCACCAGTGACCCCGTGACCCGTAAAGGAAGAAACGGGTAATACCATACCATACCATACCATACCATACCATACCAATTTATTTATATAGCACTTAAAACAGCAACAAGGCCAACCAAAGTGCTGTACAAAAGAAACAAACATGCACAGCAGACAGGAAAACATAAAATAGAAATACAGATACAAATAGCAGCAGAAGCTAACTAAAATGGCCAACAGAGTAGAGAACAGACCGGACCAAAACAAATCACACCGTGTTAAAGGCAAGCGAATAGAAGTGGGTCTTCAAGCGAGACTTAAAGACTGAGAGTGTGGGAGCCTGCCGGACACTCAGTGGCAACTCATTCCACAGTGGTGGACCTGCGACAGAGAAAGCCCTGTCACCTCTGAGCTTACGACGGGTTTCTGGGACTGAGAGAAGCATCTGGTCTGCTGACCTCAGAGAGCGCGGTGGGACATATGGCTGCAGAAGATCAGTGAGATAGGATGGGGCGGAACTGTTCAGTGATTTAAAAACATACATGAGAATTTTGAAATGGATCCGAAGGTTAATGGGTAGCCAGTGCAGGGAGGCCAAAACTGGCGTGATGTGCTCTCTATAGCCTGTACCAGTTAAAAATCGGGCTGCAGCATTTTGGACCAGTTGTAGACGAGCAATGGAGGACTGACTGATTCCAAACAGAAGTGAATTGCAGTAATCAAGCCTAGATGTTATGAAGGCGTAGATCACTGTCTCGAGGTTCTTTTTGGAGAGTATAGGCTTCAGCTTAGACAGCCGTCTCAGCTGAAAAAAACAGGATTTGACCATCATGTTTACGTGACTGTTGAGTTTTAAGGACGGGTCCATTATCACCCCCAGATTAGTGACCTTTTGTTGCTCTAGCGGGACTAGAGAGAAAAGGTCAATGTCATGGTTCATGAGTGAGCCACTGGGATGGAACAGCATGACTTCAGACTTCTTCTCATTGAAGCTTAAGAAGTTTAAAGCCATCCAGTCCCGGATGTCAGCCAGGCAGTCAAGAAGAGGCTGACTAGAGCGTGTGCCTCAGTGCCTCAGGGGGAAGTAAATTTGGCAATCATCGGCGTAGAAATGAAAGGGTATGTCGTGTTTGTGGAAGATAGCACCTAGTGGCAGCAGGTATAAAGAAAAGAGAAGGGGACCGAGGATGGACCCCTGCGGTACCCCCCACTGGAGCGCTGTCGATGCCGAACTAAAATCTTTGATATTGACACAGAAGGTTCTGTCAGAGAGGTAGGACCCAAACCATTTAAGGGCTGACCCTGTGATGCCCACCCACTGCTCCAGTCTAGAAATGAGGATGTTGTGGTCGATGGTGTCAAAAGCAGATGTAAGGTCCAATAGGACAAGCAGCACAGAATCACCTAAGTCTGTAGATATGAAAATGTCATTAAAAACCTTCAGTAGAGCAGTTTCAGTGCTATGTGTAAGGATGGTACCATTTGCTGGTTCTGTTTGTGTCTGTGTTTCCCTAGTGTTTCCTCGTCAGTTTAATTGGTGCCACCTTTGTCTCGTCACAGCTGTTGTAATCACGTCTTGTCTTGTCCTTGTATATAAGCCTCCTGTTCTGTTTTGTTCCTCGTCGGGTCGTATTCGTTGGGTCTCTGTGTTCTCCTGCGTTTCCCCTGAGCTCTCCTGAGTCCTCCCTGAGTTTCCCTCTGAGCCTTCCGTTCACGTAAGTTTTGTTGCCACGTCAGTTGTTTATTTTTGTTCGTTATCCACCATTAAATATTTATTTTTATAATCTGCCGAGTTGAGTCCTGTCTGCACAACTGGGTTCGTCCCTGACAACCAAATCCTGACACTATGGAGAGATTTGAAGCCAGATTGGAATAACTCAAGGATAGCGTGATCCCCCAAAAACTGTTTCAACTGAGACTCCACAATTTTTTCCAGTAGTTTAGAGGTGAATGGGAGTCTGGAGACAGGCCGGAAGTTGGACATGACTGAGGGGCCAAGGTTAGGTTTTTTCAGGAGGGGCTGGACAGCAGCATGTTTAAAAGTCTTTGGCACCACACCTGATAGAATAATCCACACTTTGCCTCAGTTTCACCAAAATCCCTGCACGCTTCCCACGACGTCTGCGACGTTTCCTCCATGGAGAAAGGCCAGGGTCACGCAGAAGGAACGCAGGAATCTCAGATAGGACCGGTGGGGGAGAGTGCTGGCCGCTGTTCAAAAACTCCGCGGGAATTTCAGCAAATGTACGGAGCTCCAAAAGTGCCCGACGATCATACTGAAAATATGACTCGGCACACTGCACAAACCATTGTAAAAATAACAAAAATAAAATACAAGCAGAGAGCGAGAGACGGGCAGCCCTACACACCGGCGCCATCTTGGAATCCTCAATCATTGATCATGTAATAGATAATGGATGGATGCTTTCGTGACAAAGTTTATATAATCTGAGCCACAAGTTACAGAAACAGCAGAGGCAAAGGTCAGAACAAATGTCAAACAAACTCATTAAGACATTGTCAGAAGGATTCAAAGGAAATTAGTCATGACAAGGATTATGAGACTAACTGCATAACTAAATATAGTTATTTCTATGCATAGACTGAACAATCGATAAACAAATATTACCTTTCAGAGGAATGATGATTTCATGTTTTGCTACCTAGAATAAAAAAAATTATGAGATATTTTACTGACAGGTTTTGATGTAAATTTAACATAGTATTTATAAAGGTTATAAGATGGTGGTTACCGTAAGGCCTCCGTTCGATCTCACTTGGTACCGTCCACAGTGCAATGTGAAAAAGGCCACACTCAAACAGGAAAAGTCCACTTCAGGGATGGGAGAGGCTGGCGCTGAGAGAGGAGACTCGTCAACAACTAACTGCAACATCTGAAACCCAAAAACAAACACATAACACATAGAACTCCATGTGCTCCTCAGGTTAAAGAAATGCATATTTTTCTGAAGCTTGATTTTTCCAGTTTCCTCCCACAGACCAAAAACATGCATGCTAGACTGATTGGTAACTAAATTGTCTCTAGGTGTGAGTGAGAGTGTGAATGGTTGTCTCGTTTGTCTCTATGTGTCCCTGTGATGGACTGGAAACCTCTCCAGGGTGTCTCCCGCCTCTCGCACAGTGATGGCTGGACATGAGCACCAGTGACCCCCACAACCCAAAAAGGAAGAAGTGGGTAAAAGATAATAAATGGATGATTTTACTGCATTTTCATAATCTAAAGCAGAAGTTTCTAGTCTTCAGAAAGTATTTACTTTGGCACCATCTAGTTTTGAAAACATAAATTACACATAGTTTGAAACCAGTGCAGTAAACAGGAAAAATACCTTCAGTTACCTTAATCTTGATCACAACAGTTTAAAGTAACAAAGAAATTGCACAAAAACTTCAAACCATTTACTCTGACTAATATGGGCTAAAAGAAGGCAAAAGAGTTATATAATTTGTTAACCAATGTAGAAAAATCTTCTGCTTGCTCGGTGCAAACGTGCACTTGTGATTTAAAACAAACTGACCTGTATTTAAATTTTTCAGACACTAATAGACAAGTAAATACAAGTAAACATTTTCTTATAAAAGACAATGTGTAACTTATTAACACTGACACCGAGGTCTGCAGGTGGTCCGTGCTGCCGTTTCGTAATTTATTTATCAACCTTTATTTAACCAGGCAAATCCCATTGAGATCACAGATCTCTTTTGCAAGGGAGTTCTGGACCTCAAGGCAGACCAACATGCATGTTTTTGGTCTGTGGGAGGAAACTGGAGTACCTGGAGAAAACCCATGCAAGCACGAGAAGAACATGCAAACTCCACACAGAAAGACCCCAGGTATATACATATATATATATATATATACACATATATATGAATATATATACACACACATATATATATATATATATATATATATATAT